CTCCTGGCCTTGCTACTAGGAGCAAGGACGCTACTAGGGGCTCCTGGCCTTGCTACTACGAGCAAGGACGATACTAGGGGCTCCTGGCTGAACTACTAGGAGCAAGGACACTAAGGAGCAAGAACGCTACTAGGGACTCCTGGCCATACTACTAGGAGCAAGGACGCTACTAGGGGCTCCTGGCCTTGCTACTAGGAGCAAGGACGATACTAGGGGCTCCTGGCCTTACTACTAGGAGCAAGGACACTACTGGAGCAAGAACGCTACTAGGGACTCCTGGCCATACTACTAGGAGCAAGGACGCTACTAGGGGCTCCTGGCCTTGCTACTAGGAGCAAGGACGATACTAGGGGCTCCTGGCCTTACTACTAGGAGCATGGACACTACTAGGAGCAAGAACGCTGTCAGGGATTCCTTACTACTAGGATGCTACTAGGGGCTCCTGGCCTTGCTACTAGGAGCAAGGACGATACAAGGGACTCCTGGCCATACTACGCTACTAGGGCTCCAGGAAGCTACTAGGCGCCCCTGGCCTTATTACCAGCAGCCAGGACGCTACTAGGCGCTCCTGGCTTGACTACTAGGAGCAAGGACTGTAGGGGCTCCTGGCGTTACTACTAGGAGCAAGGACGCTTACTAGGGGCTCCAGGCCTTGCTACTAGGAGCAAGGACGATACTAGGGACTCCAGGACGCTACTAGGCGGCCCTGGCCTTATTACCAGGAGCAAGGATGCTACTAGGGGCTCCTGGCCTGACTACTAGGAGCAAGGACTGTAGGGGCTCCTGGCGTTAATACTAGGAGCAAGGACGCTTACTAGGGACCCCTGGCCTTGCTGCTAGGCTACTACGGGCTCCTGGCCGTACTACTAGGGGCAAGGACGCTATTAGGGGCTCCTGGCTTTACTACTAGGAGCAAGGACGCTACTAGGGGCTCCTGGCCTTACTACTAGGAGCAAGGACACTACTAGGAGCAAGAACGCTGTCAGGGATTCCTTACTACTAGGATGCTACTAGGGGCTCCTGGCCTTGCTACTAGGAGCAAGGACGATACAAGGGACTCCTGGCCATACTACGCTACTAGGGCTCCAGGAAGCTACTAGGCGCCCCTGGCCTTATTACCAGCAGCCAGGACGCTACTAGGCGCTCCTGGCCTGACTACTAGGAGCAAGGACTTCTGGCTCCTGGCGTTACTACTAGGAGCAAGGACGCTTACTAGGGGCTCCAGGCCTTGCTACTAGGAGCAAGGACGATACTAGGGACTCCAGGACGCTACTAGGCGGCCATGGCCTTATTACCAGGAGCAAGGATGCTACTAGGGGCTCCTGGCCTGACTACTAGGAGCAAGGACTGTAGGGGCTCCTGGCGTTAATACTAGGAGCAAGGACGCTTACTAGGGACCCCTGGCCTTGCTGCTAGGCTACTACGGGCTCCTGGCCGTACTACTAGGGGCAAGGACGCTATTAGGGGCTCCTGGCCGTACTACTAGGGGCAAGGACGCTACTAGGAACGGAAGGCGCAACTCAACAAACCGTAAGACCAGGCCTTTATAGGAATTGGAGATTGCTGAAGCCCCATCCGAAATCGCCTGTGAAAGGACCAACAATTCCAGGCTGCTGTCGCTGACCTCCCTCGCCTGCAAGAACACAAACAAAGAAACAACCCCATCCGAACGCCAACCGCACAGCCCGTGTCTGCTGTCGCCGTTTTCAGTGGGTGACTTCCATGTTCAGTGGGGGCCTGGAGGTAAATTCGAGCTGCTTGTGCAATCAGCCGCCGAACTTGATTGATCTCGTTGATGCCATTCTTCCACAAGGTTGCATCCATACCGCTCAAAGGATTGCAATCAGGCTGTTCTGCTTGGTGTATGAAGATAGTCAAACTTCCACGAAGCGTTGCTGAGCAACCTGAAAGATCTTCAAGGACAGACTCCGCGTTGCTACGGTCCATAGTCAGAACCGGCTGCAATCTGGTCTGCACATCAAACCAATCTTTTGCCACGGTGAGGATGGCTTGCAACTGGCACACGTTCGTCAAATCTGCGATACCTGCCACCACGTCGCCCCACGCGATACTCTCAAGAAGCGATGAAAATCGCCGTTGCAAGCGCTTCATCTCGTCAAGGTTTACTTGCTCGTTGATGTTCAGCAGGATTAGAGTGGCATCGACACAGAGGCTGACACTATAGGATTCAAGCTGATGGGCATAAGCTTCAACCATTTTCTCAGCAACTCCGGTCATCTGCGCATATGCCTGGTACTGCAAGATCAACATGTCATAGTCCTGACTAATAGTCCGGTACTGCGCGTTGAGGTCAGTCAGGACTGCTGTTGAAGTGGAAGCAACAGAAGCGATGTTGCCCCGAAGAAGGGCATGCAAAGTATTTGTTGTGTCTGAGAGTTGCTGCACCTTCGTCGTTGTGTCGGCATTTGGCGGTGCAATCAGATTTTTGCTTGGGTTCCCCGTGCTCAAATCACCCATTGTGCTCTCTATTGCAGTAAGCATACCATCGAAGTTGCTGGCTGTGTAGCCACCTTTGGCCACGCGCACAAACTCCAAAATCACCGAAAGAGCATCGGCTTTCAAGTTTTCTACTGCATGAAGAGTATGAAGAACGTCTGTCGATGCGGCCCTCCGGACAAGAGCACCACTTTGTTTCCCTGGCACTGCTTGTCTTTCTTCGAACAAGCTGTGGTTTATGCTGAGGCCTTCAGGCCTAGCAAGTGCCGAAAAGAGCAGCGAAGCAAGGACTGCCTTGAAGGCCATCATGGCCTTCTGCGATCCATCTAGCTTGCTTAGCTGTGAAAACGGCTGCAAAGCAGGGTCGTCAACCGCTTGTTTCCAAACAAGAAAGCAAACAGCAATCTGGGTTTAAAGCTGATGAGTAGGGAATAATTAGGGACCGTGAAAGGCAAAGCTCAACGGCGGGACAGACTTGCGAACTCAAGAAAGCTCCGCCAACGCACCGACAAGCCTGTGCCCCGCTGTGCGCCCCAAAGCTTTCAGCGACAGAAACTCACTCACACGAACAGCACCGAAGAAAAACAGCCAATCAGGGAGGAAAGCCGCACAATGTCCGGCGTGAAAGGACTTAAACACCGAACTCAGAAGCATCTGCCTTCAACAATTTAGTAAAAGTAAACAAGTGACGTTGGCACGAGACGTAGGAAATGGCCACAATTGGAGAATTCGTGAGAATTGTGGAGTCAGTGCACGACAGAGTACGCTTAGACCCTGAGTGCACTGGTGCTGTGTTCAAAAGAATCAAGAAAGGGTGTGCCAACACATGAAGGGAAAACACCACCACTGCACAATGTTGGCAGTTTGTCTTTCTTTGTAGAAGTCTCTGAATTCTCGCCACCCACCAATCGCCGAGCATTTTTTCCTTTCTTTCCCTTTTCTCTTTGGCAATTAAACTGTTCTTCCTTTCTTTAAGCTCGCAATTGAAGACTTTCATGTTGAACGCCACTCAAGGGGAGCTGTCACCAATCTGCCAGGGCAGGGCCCAAAGTCAATAATGTAACAAAGCTCCTGGGCCACCAAGCTCACCTGCCTGCTCCTCCAAGGCTCAAAGTAAGGTGAGCTGCATCAACACAAATGGCATGTGTTAGGTGTCCTGATTCAACAAGACACAGCCACAGTGGGGTGTTTCCTTCACAGTGGGACACTGCCGGACATTGGAAAAAGATACATACGTGCAATGCTAGGTAGTAAGGCACTTGTTACTACTAGTAAGGCACTTGTTTCAAATAGCTTCTTGTTACTACTAGTAAGGCACTTGTTACTACTAGGGTGGCACTTGTTCCTAATCTTCCTAGCACCTGACAACATCAGCGGACAACATCCTCACACCGACACTGGACCAGCCTATACCTGACAGCAACCTCACATCCACATGACCCAACTGTCGCTGGAAAAGTCAGAAAAGTTGCCCACTGAGGTCGGCTATGTTTCAAAGGATTCTTTTTTGTTTGCTTCTTGTTGCTAGTACGGCCAGGAGCCCCCTAGTAGCGTCCTTGCTCCTAGTAGCGATGCCAGGAGCCCCTAGTAGCGTCCTTGCTCCTAGTAGCAAAGCCATGTTTCAATAAGAAATCGACAATTTCTATCGTGTGAAACATCCTGGAAGCATCTTTGCCAGGCGAGCGAAAAAGTCCTATAGCTGAGAAAAACTGCACACCAAACAGCAAGATCAAACAAGTGCCTCGCTAGTAGTAACAAGTGCCTTACTAGTAGTAACAAGAAGCTAGTAGTATCATTGCATTCGTTGCTTTTTTGGCCCGAGGGGTAGGCCGCTACGAGGATTAGGTAGCTACTAGTGGCTACTAGCTACGACCCGTTAGCTACTACATTTAGTTCCTATATTTTTAGGGAAACTTAACTACTAGCGATGGCCTCCAACCTAATAGCGTGACGGGCTGCGCATGGCAGTCAACCATTATGTGTTACATCCGTTTGTTTGCCCAAGATCACACGAGAGATCACTCAAGATCACAAGCACATCTCGCTGTTCTGGTGGCAAGAAGCCCCTTCACGCGATCACCACCTGGCTGAACATCTTCATTGGTTCCACAACGGGATTCCATTCACCTTGCTGAACCTTAATTACTCCTTCCAAGTCAGCAGACCTGTTCCGCGCCGAGGCCGGTGGCATCCTTGTAGACATGGAAGCCTCATGCTGCAAGGTGTCAATGCCTTCAAAAAGGACTTGTCGGAATGCGCTCTTCAGTAGCAAGAGGTATTCAACCAGGTATTGGACCCTCTAAGAGACTCTAAACCTAATAGCGATGGCCTCCAACCTACGAGCCATGGCCTCCAACCTAGATGCATTTGGCAAATGATGAGTGACAGCGGGAGTTCGGTCCTGGAGACTCCTAATCCAAAATGCCATGCATGAGCATGTCCGGACGCCCATGGGCGCAGCAAATGTAACAACCCTAGTAACAAGAAGCTACTAGGGGCTCCTGGCCTTACTACTAGTAACAAGAAGCTACTAGGGGCTCCTGCCCTTCTTCTGTCCATCTTCCATGCTCTTCCAGGTCTGGGCTCTACGCTCAAAGGCTGACCTTCAAGTAGGCTTTCCACACCTTGTGGGAGATCCAAATATGACTGAACCCACTTCAACCCAGCAATGGCCTAGACGCAATGGCCTCCAACCTACTAGCGGTGGCCTCCAACCTATTAGTGATGGCCTCCAACCAAGCAATGGCGTCCAACCTATTGGCCACGGCCCCCAACCTATTAGCGATGGCCTCCAACCTAGAAGCAATGGCCTCCAACCAAAGCGATGGCCTCAAACATAGAAGCAATAGTCTCCAACATAGAAGCAATGGCCTCCAAACTACTAGCGATGGCCTCCAACCTAGAAGCAATGGCCTCCAACTCCAACCAACTAGCGATGGCCTCCAACCTAAACGCAATGGCCTCCAACCTAGAAGCAAAGCAATGGCCTCCAACCTAGAAGCAATGGTCTCCAGCCTACTATATAGTGATGGCCTCCAACCTAATAGCGATGGCCTCTGACGTACTATAGCGGTGGCCTCCAACCTATAAGCAATGGCCTTCAACCCACTAGCGATTGCCTCCAACCTAACAGTGATGGCCTCCAACCTACTATATAGTGATGGCCTCCAACCCAATAGCGACGGCCTCTAACGTACTAGCGCTGGCCTCCAACCTATAAGCAATGGCCTTCAACCTACTAGCGATTGCCTCCAACCTA